GGCCTTGAAAATATGCTGTCATGAAAAAATATGAAAGTGGCTTCAATGCCAGTTGTTATTGATGTCTTGTGTTGTTGAGTTGATTCCAACTCATGGTGACCACATGTGTTACAAAGTAGAACTATCCCATAGAATTTCTTGGCTTTAATCATTACAGAGGCAGAACACCAGGCCTTTTCTTCCACGGAGCCACAGGGTGGGTTCGAACCTCCAAGCTTTTGGTTAGCAGTCGAGTGTAAACCATTTGCACCACCCAACGACCTGGGTTCAATGCTAAAGAACAGTAAATTTTTAAGCAAATTTTTGGTTTAGTTCTTGTTTCTCTGCCCTGTTTTTATATTAATTTTTCCAGTTGAAGTTTTAAGTAGGATTACTTACCACCCCAGTTTGCCCAATACTGAGGGGTTTTCTGGGATGCAGGACATTCTTACATAAAACTGGGACATCCCAAGGAAAACTGGGACAGTTGGTCACCCTATGACCCATTAAGAACTTCAAATAATAAGAAAAAGGAGCAAACCCCAGGTGTCATAAAAGATCCTCAACAATTGCAGATGACTTCCTCAAATCTCAGCCAACAGATCCTCATCCAACATTGCCTGACCTCCTCTTGACAGACAGGCCCTCCACTCCTCCCTCTCCTGTTCATTCATGGATCAGGGGCTCGCTTTGAGGCCTTTCCTAAAAGTAAATGTGAAAGCATTTAATACAAGAATGAAAGGAACACGTTGGGTTTTCAGAACAATAATCTACTTCTTTTTATTAGCGGGATAAACCACTCAGCCTAAAAGAATAGTTATCCACATAGGACTTGGATTATCACCTCATAAAACAGCAGGGCTCTCCTGTTAACACCTAAATAAAGCTGCTATCAAGCTAGAAAAATAGGCCAGGCACAGAGAATCTCTGAGAAACAAGAGAAGCTTCAGATTATAAAGGCTTCAGAATGTGGAGCAAGGTGGAGGATGCTGGTGTTTGGAGTCAGACTGGCTCAAGATCTTGAGCAAATTGCTTCATGTCTCTGCATCTCAGTTTTCTCATCTGCAGGGCCTGCTGCATGACAGGTGTTTAATAAGTGATAGGTCCTACCCCTCTCCCTCCTTCTGGAAGAGTACAAGTAGGTCATGCCAGAGGGACAGAGGTGGACGTGCATTCCAAGAGGGTCACACAAGCACATTCTAACTTGATCTTGCCCCAAATCTTAAATGCACTTGGAAAATGGCAATGAGAGGACGTTCAAGAGAGTGTGTGGCCCAGTCTTGCATTCAGAAAGGCGAAGAGCTAAATTTATTGAGCACGTGTTTCGTATATCCAGAGATCCTGCAAATCTGCCCAGTAGCACATGCGAATTTCTCCACATAGAAAAATGGTCAGAGGATGCTTTCTCATGCCCGTTGGAAAGGTCTCTTGCTCTCACTTAAGTTTGCAACTTCACGTTTTGTTGTAGGCATTCAGAGTCATCATTCTCCTTAAGAGGAGCAAAAAAAAAAGAAAACTCTTTCCTATACCTGAAGACTGTAAATTAAAGCACCTTTTAGCCTTCTCTTTCCTGGGTTCCAAAAAAAAAAAACCAATTCAAACACCATTTCCTCAGGAGCAGCCAATGTATGTGTGTGGCAGCTTGGGGCCCTCCAACCACAGTTGTCATTATGCAGTCACGGTGCTCAGAGACTCTGCAAGAAAGCCGTTACCTGTGCTTGCCAGTTCAGCAGGCAGGCTAAGTGGAATAAAATGGGCCCCAGGCAACGGGCACCCTCCCTTCACTCTTGATACTTCTAACTAGAGACCCAGACGCCCCTGAGCTTGCTGTTTTCATTTGCAAGCGTCCTGTCGCCAGAAGGGCATTAAAAAAAAATGTATTGGGGAAGGAAGGATAAGAAAATAATCAATTAGGAGTATGAAAGATTCCTGATGATTACAGAAGGCGATTAAGGGTTTTTAGAATCAACAGGAATCTGGAGCCTCATCTGGCTCACACCAGGTGTCACCAGAAGGAGAACTATAGTGAAACCACTGTCCCTGGGCCATAAAGGCAAGGACAAGCTCCTGGGGGGAGCAGCAGATAGACTTCCCTGAAGGTCCAGAAAGTGGGGAGAAACAAAGGCAAGTGTCCCATTCTGAGTCCTTCTCTACATTTTGCCCTCTTATCTCCATCATTCCCCACTCCCACACACCACTCTAGCTCTGAGACCTTTAGTGATAGTCTTTCTGAGCCTGCAGACCTATAATTTCCACAGCCATCTCAGGAAGAAGTAGGATTACATTTCTGAAAATGTCATTCAAGCTTTTTGCAGTAATCATTTTGGTCTCCTTGGTTACTTCGGCTCACACAGATGAGGTCTGCGTCTTTACACAAATACACACTTAACGGGAGCAGTTGAGATCTGGAAGCTTCAGGCAACAGGGTGTGGATGACCCATATTCAACAGCAATGTCGTTGTTGTTGTTAGGTGCCTTGGAGTTGATTCTGACTCATAGCGACCCCAGGCACAACAGAATGAAACCCTGCCCAGTCCTGCACCATCCTCACAAATGTTGCTTTGCTTGAGCCCATTGTTGCAGCCAGTGTGTCAATCCGTCTTGTTGAGGGTCTTCCTCTTTTCTGTGGACTCTCTACTTTACCAAGCATGATGTCCTTCTCCAGAGACTGATCCTTCCTAATAACATGTCCAAAGTATGTGAGATGAAATCTCGCCACCCTCGCTGCTAAGGAGCATTGTTAGAAGTGTTAGAAGTGAAGACTTTATACAGAGGACAAGTAACTCAATAATGAAGGCATGGAAAAACTTGCGAAGTTTTCACTGTTTCAAGTCATTCATTCATTCAGAAGGCATTTATTCAGCCTTAGCCGTCATCCTCTTCTTGTTCACACTTCTCTTCTGTTATAGATTGAATTATGTCCCTCAGAAAGAAACTATCCCTGCATCCATCAACCACATCACCCATCCTCTCCATCCTTCTCAAGAACGTCACTCATGTAGTATCCCTTTTCTCTCTTACATCATTAGTGTTCCTTTCTGTACCAGATCATTCCCATGGAAAAAAAAGTGCCCCTAGTCTTCAATACAACACAAAACAACAAAAATCTCTCTTCACACATCTCATTTTATCTACCAACCCATTATTCTGTCTCACCTCCCTCTCCCAAGCTAACGTTATTGAAAGAGCTATGGACCCTATCTTCTCTACTCCCAAGCGCTGCATTGAAACTGCTCATTAAAGTTCTCAATGACCTTCACTTTGCCAAATTTCCTCTACATTTTTCTATTACCTGTTTTCTCAACACTATTTGATGCAGTTGACTGTTTCTTCTGTATTGGTTTCCTAGGGTACTGTAACAAAGTACCACACACTGGATGGCTTAAAGCAGCAGACTTCTATTCTCTCATAGTTCTGTAGGCTAGAAGTCTGAGCACAGATATCAGCAGGGCCAAGCTTTCTCTAAGAATTTGAATAGAATCCCTCCTCGCCTCTTCCTAGCTTCTGGTGGTGACCAGCACTCCTTGGTATCCCTCAGCTTGTAGATGCATCACTGGAATCTCTTCCTCCATTGTCGTATGACTGTGTCAGTGTCTGTGTCTCTTTTTCTCTTCTTTTAAGGACTTCCTATAAGGACACTAGTCATATTGGATTAAGGACCTGCCCTTCTCCAGTATGACCTCATCTTAACAAATTATATCTGCCAAGACCTACTTCCAAATAAAGTAACATTCACTGGTACCAGGGCTTAGGACTCCAGCATACATTTTTGGGGAACACATCTGAACTCATAATACCATTCTTCTTCAAACACTTTCCCTCCAGAAAGCCTGAAGTCTTTAAACAAATCAGTCCACCCCAATTTCAGAGTGGCGCTTATAAGAGTTCTCAGAGAGACAACTGTCACCAACCAACAACATATCTGTAAAAACTTAACCCAAAACCGTGGGTACCTAGTTGCTTGCATTTATCTAAGGAAAGTTACACAGGTGATTTGTCTCATAAAAATAAGAATCTGTCTTCAACGGTGTGTCAGGAAAAGACAACTTTCAGTGCAGTCACTGCGACAGAGGCATGATATGCTGACCCTGCTATCTAATTCTAATCTGGATTTCTAGACTAATAGCTATGGGTTTTTGTTGTTGTTGTTTGCTTGTTTTGTTTTGTTTTTTGGAAAACACGTTTTTCGCTGGTGGTCAAAATCAGGATGTGAAATCATATGCCCCTAGGGGTTTTGACCAAGTAAACTTTGCACCTCTCAAAATACAGTACTCCAGAAGAGTGCCACCTGAGTGCTGTTGCCAGCAAGTTTTTTTTTTTTTTACAAGATAGACAAAGAAACCACATGTAAGCATCTTGTGACCATTATGTAAGCATCCCGTGAAACTATCTGTAATCCCTAATTTTAGCCATTAATAAATAATAACCAATCAGTGTCTTGTAGTAATACTGCAACTGTATCCGCAGAAACATCTGACAACTGCATGGGTCTTGTTCAAGTACCAGCAACCACTGAATTGGGCCTAGCCAGTCACACACCCAGTCCTCATCTGATGAGACCTTCATACCATCGACACGGCAGGCACCAGCTGACTTTCCTGGGGGAACAACAGTCTACCCATGTCAGCGGATGCTGGTCCACTCCAGACTCTGAAGCCAGGTTTGAATCTTCGCTCTCCTACTCACTTCCTAGCTTTACCCATCCATGCACTGGTTTCTCCCCTCGTGATGGTATGTACCTCATAGAATTCTTGTAAGGATTAAATGAGCCCACACACGTGAAGTTCCTAGAACAATGCCTGGCACATTGTTTTCTATGCTAGCTACTATGGTGAGATAAACTATTGTAGCTTACTATCTAAGGGGCCCTGGTAGTGCAGTGGTTAAGAGCTTGGCTGCTAACCAAAAGGTCAGCCGTTCAAATCCACCAGCTGCTCCTTGGAAACCCTATAATGCAGTTCTCCTCTATCATATAGGGTCGCTATGAGTCGGAATTGACTCTATGGCAATGGGTTTGGTGGTGCAAACAAGGAGACTTGGTGGCACGGTGGTTAAAGTGCTTGGCTGCTAACCAAAAAGTCAGCAGTTTGAATCCTTGGGAGAAAGATGTGGCAGCCTGCTTCCATAAAGATTTACAGCCTTGGAAACCCTATAGGGCAGTTCTACTCTGTCCTATAGGGTTGCTATGGGTTGGAATTGAATCGACAGCAGTGGATTTTTGTTTGGTTTGATGGCGCCAACAGTTAAGGATTAGGCTGTTAACTGAAAGGTTGGCAATTCGAACTCCCTCAGCGGCTTTGCAGGACAAAGACCTGGCGATCTGCTTCTGTAAAGATTACAGCCAAGAAAACCTTCTGGGATAGTTCTACTCTGTCACATGGGGTCGCTATGACTCAGAACTGACTCCACGGCACCCATCTACAATAATATTGTAAGATTATTGTCTTCTCCCACAGAGTACCCCGCACAGCCCCACCACCCACACACATGCCCAGGGGCGAGGAGGTTCCAGCTCTCTGTTCTCTGTTCTGGTCTTTTTTTACCTGAAAGGTTACCTTGAGCCAGACACAACAACATTTCAGAGGTAAGATTCTGGACCTCCTCTCCTACCTGAACTTCTGGTTAGACAATCCAGTTAGAGCTGTGGGGCGGGCATGGGGAGTGGGGACAGGCTGTTCCGCGGGTAGCTGAGGAGCGCCGCAGGCAGTGGAGACTGAATCTGGGGTGAGGAATGTGAATCTACCTTTCCAGCCCCGCAGGCCGTGCATGCTGCTGCCTCTAAGGCAAGGGCCGGGTGCCCACGTACAGATAAACACAGCCCTGAGCACAGTGGCCTCTGAAGGAGGCCGGGAGTGCCATTTTTCCAGGCTTCTTTCTTTCAAATGTGTACTTTCACACACAATATATTCCAAATAAAGCCTATAAAACCACCACTATTTTCCCATTTTAAGAAGGACTGGCTTCAAATTATAGGGAGGGGCTGTGCACAGCAAGCATTAATGCTGTAAATTACAAGGCTGGGCCCTGCACGCAGACTCCTCTGCTCAAGAGCTTTTAATGTCTTTTTCCTTCCGCGCGGAATATGTTATTTACTCTCCGCCAGAGCTCTGGCTTCTTCCTTTCTACTGGTTGTAAAAGTAACAGCCAATGTTTGCAAGAAATGACAAATCAGACAAGGCAAATATTATACCTGTGGAGTACAAATCCACCTGGACTCCTTCTGATCCCTCTCACGAGGTTATTTGGATGCGTCAGAGTAAGTGGATTTGGAGCAAACCTCCCAAGCAGGCAAAGGAAATAGCCAAGTACAGAGTTTGCTTTGAGGGGTGCAGGGAAGGACCTCTGTCCACAAAATCGTAATCATTGATTTATTCCCTTATAAATCCTACCCTTTGGAGGTATCTGCATTTGAAGGCGTGAGAAGGGGTTAAGTTGAATAGAGTACTGATAGTCTGACTTAGGGGTTCCGTTCCAATAACTGTGTTGTAAGTTGGTTCTGACCTAATTTGAATACCTGATATATATATATATTAGTTTTCATTATTATTGTCTTTTATTATCAGTATCTTTATAAATCCGATCTTTGTCTTTGGGGTTGGAAACACTACATATAAACTTACAGATATATTTTAATAGATAATGTACATACATAAAAAATACACAAATCATAAAAATTTACTCTGACAATGAAGAAGACTTGGACAACATTGGCACTTTGTCAGCTGTGGTAATAACTCCACTTGTGGAAGGTTCTGGATCATCTGGATTATTCCTGGAATGGGGATGGTGTTTCTAGTTGGAAAATTAGTGAGAGTTGTTTGTATGGTCCTTTTCTTTTTCTCTTCATATATTTTTTGGTAACATCTCACTGCTTCCCGAATCTGCCTATCGACTTCAGTAAAGCGATCAATGACTGGGTCCATGTTTTCAAGCAACCGAAGCCTCTGATTTAGGTTAGAAAACAAACTCCAGCTAAACCTTTCACCGTCAATTTTTTTGACGACTTCTCTCCTTTCTCGTCCTCATTATTTCCTTCTTCTTCAGCATTTCTTTCCACTTCAAAATCCACAAAGTCCTGATCTGTCAATTCCCCTTCTTCATGATCTATGAGCTGTTCCACATTGTTCTTGCCATATGGATAATTTTTCCGCTGATCTCTTCCATCATATTATCCTGATCAAATGCTTGGAGCGTGTTCACCTAACTCAGTAATTTTTTTCCATTTATCACCTGCATGTATTTTCCCGTAACTTTCTCCCAGGAAATGCAATGTTCCAGACACTCTGACGGTCTAAGTGTGGTTCATGGTAACTTGAATACGTCATAAGTCAGGGACTACATGTAGTTGTCTAATTACCTATTTTCTATCAGTTGCCATCAAGTTAATTCTGACTCATTGCGACCCCATGTTTATCAGAGTAGAACTATGCTCCATAGAGTTTCCAATGACTGGCTTTTCAGAAGTGGTTTGCCAGGACTTTCTTCTGAGGTGCCTCTATGTGGATTGGAACCTCCAGGCTTTCGGTTAGTAGCTGAGCGTTGAGTCATTTACTCCACTCTAGCACTCCCTACAGTTGTATGATTAGACCTCAGTTAGTCTTTGGTGGAGGTATTTGCTTCAGCATGGCAGATTGGGGTCCAAGAACATTGGGCTACAATATGCTATACATGTGAATGTGGATTAGGGCCACTCAGACACTAATGACATAAAAAATTCCTTTTAGACCGTGTGCCATACTGTGGTCACCGCATTCTATTTTGACTCCACGGTCTGCTTATAATTCTACATCATGAGCAAAAAGCTTCCAAGATGGATCATGGTAAAGAGATTTTAATTAGCAGCTTGGGAAAGGTCAACAACTCTAACATGGGAGCAAATTTCCAATTGGGTAGAATATCTAGGCACATAGACACCACTTTTCTAAAACTGTTTTCTAGGGGAGTCCCACACTTTGGTCTTGGGAAAAGAAACTGGATCTGAGACAACTAGTAATCACAGTCCAACCATCATGGAAACAAAAAAGAATGGAATGAGATAGATGGATGGAGTTGAGGCGCCTTAATTCAAGGGTCAGGAGAATCTACCTTGACATGAAATCAAAAATACACCTGAAAGTACTTCATCCTAGATAGTAAGATCTCATGCCTGTGCTTTAGTTCTAGGTGCAACTGATTGCTTTAATCAAGAGAGCACAGTCCCGGGGAGGTCAGATAGCATTACATTGGAAAATGCAGCATTTCAGATGCAGCTACTACAAGTATTTCTGTTAGCCGTATCTCCATCAACCCACAGTGTCTTAGTTTACATATTCAATGTCAGAAATGGGTTTTTATTGGTGAAAAATAGTGATCCGTTGATTAGTGTGAGGACTGTTAGAAGCAGGATCTCACTGGTAAAATTCAAAGTTTCCAAGATATGTGGATCAGCTAAAATATTTTAGAGACACCCCTCCACCTCCCCCATGTCCCACATACCTTGCATGACCAAGGTATAAGAACCCAACCTAAGCAGCCTGTAGCCTGCAGGCTCAGGCACGGTGCCTGAAGCTTGAACCCTAAATGGTCTTTTGTGGAGCTATTAATTAGGAAGACTTCTGGTTATCTTACCCTGACTATAAGCCCAGAATCCTGTCTTTGGAATGTTGTGTCTGGCTCAAGACTACCTTTTATGCAAAGAAAGGCCAGAACACTTAAATGGGTGGAGAGCTGGAACCTCACCAAGCTTACAGAACGCGCTTTGTGAAAACTGTTTTTGCCTGCTTGTTTAATGCTTACTTAATGCATGTGGGTCAGCATTTGTGAGGTGCTTTCATTATCATCTGGCAGCAAGGCTGACCCTTATCCACCTCCACCTGAATGAATGATGGCAACGAGTTTGGTTTTGGTTTGATATTCTCTACCAAAACCAGAACAAACAAACAAAGCAACTAAGAGTGTGCACAGCCAGGTTTTTCACCTATTCAAGATGTGTTTTGAAATCATTGTATGGAAGAATGCTTATGTTATATCATATGTAAATACTTTTCCAAGTATAAAGATCTTTGGAAACATTTCTTCAGGAATACGAGGGACAGGCAAGGGATAAAAGATGAGGTAAGAAGCAGCTTTGAGACCCTAGAGACAACATTGAAAGCAAAGAGAGCATTGGAGTGAGTCAGAGGAATGGATTTCTGCCTTGGTTCTGCCACAGAACAGCTACCTGTGGTTGGATAGGTCAGTTCTCCTCTTGAGCTTCATTATTCTGAGCTTTGAAATAAGGAAGATGAATAGCAAAATCCCTCAGGTTCCGTAGTTCTCAATTCTATGGCTCTTATTTCCAGAAGGCCCAGAGGCCCGGCAACTAGACCTCCTGACTTCTTTGGCAGGTCACCAGGAAGTCCTTCCATCCCCACAGACTCATGCCCAGCCTGAACTTCAGCCTGGAGCTGCATTTAGATGAACAATTCTCCTTTTCTGTACAGTGTTATTGAAGGAGAGTGGGAAATCTCATGTATTCACAACTTGATGGGATGTCATGTCATTTCACTGCTTTCTTTCTGATAAGTGATAGCAGTTCATGAACCAAAATGTTG